CACAGACACACACACACACATTCTCTCACACAAAGACACATATGTCCTTTGGAGAATTTTACACATTAAAAACACACAGCTTCTATTGTTAAACAGATAAAATCCAAATAAAGACAATCTATTTTCAGATTCCACTCAAATCATCTTTTTTCTTATTTTTTTAAAAATGTGATTGTTTCAGTTTTTGTTGCACAGCCTCTCGCGATGCTGCTCCTGCTCTGCCTGCACGAAGCCTGCATGTGAACCAATTTCAAGTCCGCGTTGTAGGTGTCGCTGTTGACCACGTCTGCATCCGCAGTACGAGCGCGTGCAGGGAAGGGGGGGGGGGAGGAGGCTGCGTCTCAAGGCCATTTTCAAATCTCATTGGTGGGCTTGTCATGTGGTCGGGAGGCATCCTGACTTACACGCAGATTGTTTTTCCTAGATATGTCAGCTTACAAAGGACATCTCTCTCCTCTAAAGAACTTAACCCCCCAAAATGTCCTTTCCCAGTAGCTCTCCTGCGGCAAACACATTTTTAGTGGACTCTTTAATTGGTGCTTGCAGGACGGACAGCTTTTACTCCAACAGCAACATGTACATGCCGTCCGGCTCAGAAATGGGAACTTACGGAATGCAAACCTGTGGACTCCTGCCGTCTTTCGGCAAAAGAGGGGAGGTCAACCACCAAAATATGGGCATGAATGTCCACTCGTACATACCTCAAATAGATAACTGGACTGATCCGAATAGACCCTGCAGAATAGAGTCGTCCAGTCAGATGTCAAACTGTACATTTTCACAGAGCATAAAGGAAGAGAGTAACTGCTGCATGTACTCCGATAAGAGAGTACAAAAAGTCAGCTCGTCAGAGGTCCCCGCATATTCTAACGTTATCCCAGAGTCCTGTCCAGTCGATGGTCCTGAGATCCCGGTTCCGGGGTATTTCAGACTGAGCCAAACTTATGCGAATGGGAAACATCAGGAAAACTACTGCCATGAGCCGCCGAGTCCAAACCCAACATTGATGCAACTCAGCCGGGTCACCCCGAAACCGCAGTCCTCCTCGGCGCCTTCTAATTTTGCAGAGGTGGAAAAGAAAACCGAGGACGTCCCGCAAAAACCCGAGACCTCAAGGACACCGGTCCCCGCAGAAAGCCCGGATCCCAAACCCAGCTCTGGGGAGAAAAACTGCCCTATGGAAGCCTCTGTGTCCAGTCCTGAGCTGCTACAGAAGGAAGGGAAAGGTGGGTTGGCTACAATGAAAGCTTTTATCTTGTGGCGCTGCAGTGCTGAGAAGGCTCCAGCATCATAAAACCAAGTATAAAACACAAACAACCCTAAAGTCGTAATGTTTAATGAGAGTCTTTCTCAGGTTGCAGTAATAGGCAACAGAGAATGGGTTTTACCATGCAGCATGCAGTGGGTTCCCCTTCCTCAGATATAAAATTTCGAATAGTATGCAATTTTAGAGAATATATTTTCACAGCATATTTGGGCATATTGCACGGTTTTCAGAAAATTAAGAATTTAACGCAAGGAGCTATGATTGCTAAGCTATTTCTTGTATAAATGCAAAATGTAATCACTCCAGGATCTTAAAGAAATTGGTGCATTTGCAGCTGTGTAGTATAGTATAGTTTAGTCTGCATCCTTAACTAGAACCCCACAACAAGAGAAAAATCACTGTATTTAAAATTAAATTAAAAGTTGATAATTTTAACAATTTAATCAAAGGTTACATGTTAATGTATTTCAAGCTCTTGTGAAATTAATTGATGTTTTTTTATTATTTTTTTTTTGGCTGTAGGAAGGTGTGTTCCCGGGGTGCGGTTTGATCAGTTGGGGGCTTCATTCTCATTTCTATTTCATTAGTGGTGGCATGTACGTAACTAATAACATCCCCAGCATTTGTATCTATTCTGGGAAAACCCTTCATATTGTGTGTTATTTCCCAGAGGTGAAATCTAAAAAAAAAGCAGCAGGTGAGAGTTTCTTCAAGCTGCAAGCTTTCTAAACAAATACTGTGGTGTCTTCTGATCTGAAATCTGTTACAGACTGCAAGAGTGACCCGGCGACAAGCAACTGGTTAACTGCAAAAAGTGGGAGAAAGAAAAGATGTCCCTACACAAAGCACCAGACCTTGGAGTTGGAGAAGGAGTTTCTGTTCAATATGTATCTGACCCGAGAGCGCCGCCTAGAGATCAGCCGGAGCGTCAACCTGACCGACAGGCAGGTCAAGATCTGGTTTCAGAACCGCAGGATGAAACTGAAGAAAATGAGCAGAGAAAACCGCATCCGTGAACTGACCTCAAATCTCACCTTTTCGTGAGCTTGCATGTGTCTGTGTTTAGCTTTTATTTTATTTTTTAATTTTTTTTAATTTTTATTATTTCCTCCCATATTCAGTTTGATGCTTTAGTGGCATTGGACGTTTTATCTTCAATTTCAACGAAACTGTGACTATATAGTACTTTGTGTGGCGTCGTGTGTTTGTCTTATGTTTATCACAGGGTAACACTTTTTGGTCTTAAATTATTGGAGAAGTAGATTTCTTCCTTCTGCCAGTAGACATGGATATTCTCTTGTGTCGCGATTGGCGAGCTGTTCGGAAAGAGTTACTCTATTTCAGTCATGAAAGCACATTTATTGTGGTGTAGTGCAACATTTGTTTTACAGTAAGTGCAAGCCATTTGCTCCATAGTGAAATGTTTCTATGAGCCTTTAAAGTGACGGAAAACAATGTTAATCTGTGAATTTATTGCATGTTTGTGGCATGTATCTTGCAATAAATTGTCAAATAACCTTGGTTTGTATTTGTTTGTACTATGAAAATCTCTGGTCTACAAATATCTCACTTTTCAGTGATTGCTTTATCAAATCTGCGGCACTGTTTCCACTGACGCAGGCGCTATTTTGCTTAAAAGGAGGGGGGGAAAAAACAAGAAATTACATTTTCTAAAGGAGCCTATTTGAATTTACTACAAAGGGAGAAAATGTATTCCAAAGATGCTCCTAACATAGTTTCTAATTGTACTAAATGTTGACAATTGTGCTCTAAATTCATCAGACGAACCAGCTTAAAGCCCTGAAAAGATTTTGTTTGCGGGCTATCAGCAGTTTTAACACATGCGGTTTTAGTAGTTAGGATATACTTAACCTGTTATTACATACTTTTTAAAGCTGTTCCAGCTCCCTGAAGACAAATTGAAACCTACAGAGTGATATCTGTGAAAACAAGCCACCCCAAAAAACAAACACCTAACCAAAAAATAGTCTGAATAGAAAAATATCCCATCCTCCTCTGCAGTTTAATCGTCTATATCTGTGTGCAAAGAGTGCAGCAGAGAGGCGCAATGAAGAGGCGGGGTTCGTGTAATCAAATAAACATGGTGTTGCTTTTATTTTCAAGCTTGTTTGTGAGTAAGCTAACAGTCTGTGAGGACTATCAGACGGGGTAAGTTATGTTCAAGCACAAATTCACAGGCGAGGATCAGCTCTTCCTCCCCTCCGAGCCACGCAGGCCTCAGTGGCCACGTTGCATTTCTCTCCTCAGTCCAGGATAACTTCATATTTTATTATTATCTGTGATAAAATAACATGTAACTGTCAGTCTCATCCAGTCTGCAGATTTGACCTACATCTGTTTCCCCTAGAAATGTGCCTAATTTTTTTCCTGGACTGAAGGTCAACAGACTTCAAAACAGATAACAAATATCAAAGAACAAAGTTAATTTCTGAAAAAGACAAGATGCATAATATTTAAACATTTAAATGAAAGCTTTCAGACAGAAATGCACAGATGGACTTTGCTTCTCCACGTCTTTTTTCCCCCCTTTTATTGACGGCATGTATAATCACACGCACCTCATAAAACATTTATTGATACATAAAGACATTATTGCCCTCCTTTGAATGAATACAATAATTTCACAACTGCCGTTTCCGGCTTAGCTTTAAAAATTAAAACCAACCCAGAAAATATGTTTCCTCGCCGAATATTAACAATGGATCCGCCGCATTGTGGACGGAAATGGCGTCTGTTATTTTACAACATGTTATTACATCTATTTTACGAGGACTCCGTAAGTCTATAAACCATTTTACTAGCAATGAGGGTATCAGGACGATATTGTGAGACTTTTCTCAAACATTAAGATACAGGGAATCCGTGTTGGTGGACTGTGTATGTGGGGGGGAGAGTGTCTTATTCCCTTTTTTTGTTGTTGCCTGTATTGTTGCAGCGTCCTCCTGCAGCTCACATGTTTCTCATGTGAGCTGCACACAAAAAAAACAACATTTGCATTCATTTTGAGCGATTGTTTTCTCCCTCCAGTCACATCTGATGGGGCTTTTTATTATTTGTGAAATGAAAAGCTAAATTAAACCTGACGAGAGAGAAAAAAAAAAAGAAAAAAAAAGGAGAGAGCAAGGGCAGGATTGATTTACTCGCTGTATTGGTAAATATGACCACGTGATCCATGTAACCAATCCCTGTAGATGCAGGCCAGCAAAAATACTATGATTGTTCATAGAGGGAAGCTTCCCGTAACAGTGCAACCCTTATTATATGAGTAGGAAGAGATCAAAAATGTCTTCCAGTGGCACTCTCAGCAACTGCTATGTGGACGCTATAATGGGGCAGGAGCCGGAGGATGTGTACGGTGCTCGCTTTATTCAGGCTCCACACATGGTGACCCCGAGGCCGTCAGGTGCTGGGGACAACGCAGACTTCTCCTCTTGCAATTTTGCACCAAAGTCCGCCGTTTTCTCGTCGTCTTGGTCCTCGGTTCACCCGCAGGGGATTTATCACCCGTATGTGCACCACCACCACCACCAGTCCCATCTCCCCGCCTCGGACGGCAGATATGTAGGCGTCCGCTCCTGGATGGACCCGATCTCCAACCACGTTTCGTTCGCCGGATTTCACTCCAGCAGTCGGCCGTACGGGACAAAGCCGGAGGTCTTACCGCCGAAAGCTACCGACTGCGACGCGTTGGAGGCTGAGGCTCGGCCGCTCGCCGGCGAATTCGCGTGTGGAGTATCGGAGTGTCCAGAAAAAGCGACCAAAGAGCACAGTGGAAGTGAGCTTTCGAGCCACAGCGAGCCCAAAGAGGAGAAACAACAACAACTTGACCCAAGTAAGTAAACGAAATAGCCGGTCCTGATTTACAACCCTAAGAACTGTATGAGCTGGGTGTGTAAAACTGGAGCTTTTACTAACCTATAAAAGTGTCTCGTACTATGCCGCGGCTCGGGAAGGGGAAAAACCCGCCCTGCAAGGGTTATTACAGGGGATCCTAAAGTTTTTCATGTCACAGGACACCTAAAATAGATACACATTGCTCCATGTCGATGAGATTTTACCTGAGGTAGACTTTAGGGATAAATATATAGGCCTGATTTATTTTCTTCTCTTGGTAAAGACCCATCAATAAAAACAGGAAAACATGTAATCTGGTCATTTTTTTGCGCATTGTCTATCAATTTAATAGCGACTATTTTGCTTTTGAGTCCCTGCAACCACACCAAGTAGACTATATGTCACCAAACCCCAATTTTAAGGAAACCATTTGCTGAAGTCATTGAAGTCACATGTATCTTTACTTCACATGTATCTCTGCCCTCTCTCTTTTTCTCTGTGTGTTTTGTCCAGACAACCCTGCAGCAAACTGGATCCACGCACGCTCAACGAGAAAGAAGCGATGCCCCTACACAAAATATCAGACTTTAGAGCTGGAGAAGGAGTTCCTCTACAATATGTATTTGACACGAGATCGACGCTATGAAGTCGCCCGCATACTCAGTTTAACCGAGAGACAAGTGAAGATCTGGTTCCAGAACAGGAGGATGAAAATGAAGAAGATGAACAGAGAGAGGAGCGGCAAGGAGCACCTTTGAAATCACTGCTGCTGCCATTTCACACATTTATTGTTTGTACCAAGGAAGCCATCTGAACAATTACATTTATTTTTGGTAGGAGCCTCGGTAGCCATTTTATTATTATTTTTTTTTTTTCAGACCCTCTAGATAGCCTAACATTGAGTGTCAGTGTCATAACGTGTTGGCTGATGCATCAAAATGTGCAGGAATGTGTCCTACAGACATGGGTCCGTGAAATACTGTTTCAAGCCATCTGAAAATTCTCCCCGTTTTACAGTTTTACACAAACACACACTGGGATGTTCAAGCAGTGTCTCAGAGTTGTTTAGCATCCCCCCTCCCACAGTAGGAAACGTGCCTATGTGTATTGCTTTTATAGCTGTTAAGAATGTGGAGTTGTATATAAAACATTTTCACAGCTAAACTACTTTGACTGCTGTCTGTGTCAGTACGCACACATTGGAGATACTGCGTCAGTAAACCGTGCGTTGACCCGTTTCCACAGAGGATTTTTTTTTTTTTACTTGTGTGAGGAAATTGTTTTTGCTTCCAAAGACTCAAAGTGAGTTGGTATTTAGCAAATTATTCATTCAGCTGAAGTGTCAATATACAGTGTGACATTTTACTCTAAATAACACATTTAACAACTTTCTCTGCGTGTTTCTGGCACACTGGCGGGTTGCTTTATTTAAATAATTAGATTGGAGGAAAAAAAAACTATCCCTGACGCCTTGTTTACAGTGAGACTGCTACTGCAGCACAATGCAGACACACACAAGAAGAAATAAATTGTAACTATTTTCAATAGTTTCAGCGTTTGACAGTTGCATTTTTTAATTTGCAGATTGCACATGAATAGATTAAAGGCATTTTAATCTTTATTATTAGCTCTTTAATCCCACATAAGGTTATAAACTGTAGGCCTTCTGTTAAATGTTACTCTTTTTTCTAAATCGAGGATTTGAAACGTAGAAGAACGAGTAATAAAGTGTTTACGATTGGGAGAGGTGTTGCGGCGGATTTCCAATTTATTGTCCAACTTGTACGAATAATTACTTTAAAGCAGGAAGAAACCCGGTCCAATAAAGCTATAGAAATGGCTAGACGTCTGGCCTAAATGACTTTATGGTCCTGGCCAGTAATTACACTCTCCTTTGAAACCCCCTTTTTTTTTTGGGCGTTTGCGTCTGTTGCTGACAAACAGAATGTAGACACTTTTCCACAGGGTGTCTGGTCGATGAATTGTCTTAAAGGAAATCATCCCCCACCTTAATGGTCACGTTTATTCATCAACTGCACTTCCCACTGATGGGAAAAAAAACTTAACTTTGACTGGTCTTACCATCTGATGAATTTATTTTATTTTGACATGCAAAAAAAAACCCCAGGAAATGTGTCCTGATTTTACCTCATGCAAACTATATTTACTTTTAGTGAAATAAACCTTTTTGAATGTTCTTAAACAGATTAATTAATAAATACGTGAACAATAGAACATTTAGAGGCAGTGTAGTCAAATCAAATGACAAAACCCTGAGTTGTGCAGAAGTAAATGCAATGGGTTTATTTCTGCTGGAGCTTCGGGGGGGAGTAATGGGATCGCTAGAGGGCGATATTGTTCTTTTAGTTTCAGTTACTGCAATTCATTCGCAGCTGGAACATGTAGGCAACACATGGACCATACCATGCAGCATGCTCTAATTGATTCATTGATTTGTATGGGAAAAAAAAGTAAAGAAAGAATAAACTCATTTCATGTCATACATTTGCAAAAAGAGCATTCAGTTTTAATCGACACTCAGAAGGGTTACTGGAGCCAGGAGCAGCCTCAGTTCATCAGAAGAAAACCAGAAATGCATTCCTCTAAATTTCCCCTTCGAAGGCCATATATCCTCCTCTAAACTTTATCAAGTTGATTTAGTATTTTGCATGTATTTTATTGTCCGTGTTGTAGTGTCCTTGGAGGTAATGAAATTATTGATGACGGATAATATTTTATGTAAGCTCTGTAGTGGTTCTGGAGACAGTAGAACAACCTTTTTATTTCCCAATACTCAAATGTAACTTTAATATTTAAGCAGTGTTGCAGCGTGGATGTTTTTGTTTAAATCTGTGCTTCAGGGGAATTTGGAAGAAAATAGCCATTATAATTTTTTTCTCTTTTCAAATGGTTTAGCCTGCAACACAACCCAACTACACAATTAACACAATCACGGCACAAAATCATTAGCAGAATTATCAAAGTAGGCTACAATAAATTAAATTAAGGTTACAATTATGGTTTCTGTGACCCTAAAACTGAGTGTAACAAACACACTTTTCCATTATCTAAATGCTCTGGCTATCCAGCTTCAGGACTGATGTATTTCATACACACTTATCGTTGCTTACTGGCTGTTGAAAACTGATTATTAGATCTTTAAACAGCACAGCTCCAGTTTGACACATTTGATGAAAGCGCAGTGTGGCCTGCTTTTTCTTAATTCAGTCTGCAGAGGAAGAACAAGAGGCGCCTCCCTCGGTTTATACTGCTCTGTGTCCTGAGGAGTTACAGTGAACATTACTTCAGTCATCGCCATTAAAAGTGATGATTGTCATGAGGTTTCCAGTTGTTCAAAGCATCCAAACACTGACGGCCAATGGCAGCGCTCACAGCACAATATGGATACGAAATATTGAAGCAGTTAGATGAAACGTTGACTTGATTATTTGCGTCTTGATGTTATTGAGCTACATGTGTGATAAGTACAGTTGGCTGCTGACTATAAGGTGACTGTCACGGCTGAAAACTTGACCCCAAAATGATGATGCTTCTTTATTTTAAAATACATATATATAAATGTGTCGACGCGATTACACGCACACAATACACATACGCGGATCAAACCGTTTCTTTGATGATGGATTTTTTTGTCAATGTGTCAATTTCCACGCAGTCACCCTCGCTGTACTGTTATAGACAGTCATGTGCCTCTTTGCTTACAGGCCAGTGGGGTCAGCTATTTCACTCTTGCCATTAGCTGCAGTCACATTACACCAGTGGATGCAGTAGTGCGCCATATCCGCACTTTGTCCTTGCGCTATTATTTCTGTGTGAAGGCCCAGATGATAGCTGTGTCACCGATGTTGTTGTTTTTTTCCCCCCAGAACTGTGTTAAATAGTAAAGTTACAGGATTATTCTGCAGAAATATCGCTGGTCCAAGTCCAAGCTGGAATAAGAGAAAGCACATTAATGCAGTTCCTTTCTGCGTATTTCTGAAAGTATAAGAAGTGTGCCAATTTATAGACATTCTCTGATTACTCTGTCTGTCTGACTATCTGTCTGTGTGTGCGTGTGTGTGTGTGTGTGTGTGTGTGAGAGACACAGAGGGGGGGGGAGTTTCGAATTGAGCCTATTTCTGGAAACCTTATGCTACTTCAGTTATCCCTTTTGTCAGACCTATAGACTACATTACTCCAGGTCCAGGTCTCACTGCATTTACTCAAAACATGTTTCCATTAGTCTGCTTTACGTTTTTTTTTTTTTTTTCTTTTTTTCGGTTCACAACCAAAACCACAATAACTGAAAAGCAGTTGAGGTCTGTGGCGCAATTTGACAGGCAGGTAGCCCGTTCTATTCGTCCAGACTCTAGAATACGGAACGTTCTACAATGTGTTCCTACACTGAGTTGGAACACAGAATGATACAATGTAGCGTATGTATGGAATGCATGTTGAATCATGGGCTACAGTCAGTGGTCTAGTGCAGGGTACCACTTCTAAATCCCCTCTTTTGTGTCTAGTGTTGCTGATTCTTTTTTTTTTTTTTTTTTGGATGGCAAAGGCAAGACATAGTTGTCCAGTTTTCGTGAGTGAATGGACTGAGGAATAAAGAATACTTCACTGAAAATGCGTAATTTTATTTCGTTGTTTCACCTTTATATTGTGTGCTTCTACTCTCCTGTGGCTAAAGTTTCATATTCATCCTTTCTTCCTGAAGTTAAATGACAATGAGCAAATACGTAGTTGGGAGTTCATCCTTAAATAATCAAAAAATGGGGCATAAATTAAGAATATTCCCACTTTTTTAGGCACCACTACACCTTTGGCTACAGCCGACAATGGGGCGGTGTAATAACGACTTTATGGTGCAAAATCCACCATTAAAACTGATGCAATCCCGACTGGTCTGATCGGTAATAATGACTCATGTGTGGTGTGATAATGTGCGTGTAAACAGTATCTTTCATCAGTCATGTCATCTCTACTTTCTTGGCAACAGACTTTTATGGTTCGAGCGTTTTGAATCCATGTGGTTGGAAAAAGTGGAATATATAAATATTAAGTGCTGAAACTGTCAACATAAAAAAAAACAACAACACAAAATAAAAGCTCCCTATGTGACGGCCTCTGCATATTTAACTGTCTGAGAATCAGGCCGTGCAGAAAGTACAATTAGAGCTCTGGGCTGGAAGGAAACCATGAGTTTATACTGTGACACAGGCCTACACTTCCCTGTTAGGCACCTAAAACACGTGACAAATTGATTTTATTTAAATTAGTTTTTCACTAACAACAGTGTTTTCATTATGAACAACGCCAACGCACTTCAGCATATACTGGCCTGGACAATTGACCTGGATGTTTTTTGCATTATTATGGACGGAAGCAGATTTGGCTCCATATTCTTAAACCGGATAAATTGCAATACCGAGAGAGAGAACAGGAAGAAAGAAAATCCCACCAGGCTCTTGAATTAATATGAAAACATGGAGACCTGCTGCCCTGTGAGGCGTGCTATCCTGGTGGTTGCCACATCTTTATTAGTCCTCTAGGTGTCTAACAATGTGGCGGCTGTGTGTTATAGTTACAATCCGGGCCCCACCCACAGACCCTGTGTCTTTCTATGTTTCTTTTTTTCAGTATCAGTCAGGAATGTAAAAGTAAAGCAGGGGAAGGGAATGCTGGCAACACTGAGTACATCTATCTATGTACTGAACCTATCTAAGTGACTGTTTGATCTGTACGCCTCTTATTATCCAGCAGACCGGTAGCGGACACCATTTGTTTTCCCTAATCAAAGGAAATGACCACTGTGAGCGCGCTAGATTTGTCTTTGGCTCTCCATCATTCATTTACTGAGCACTGGTCCGCCACTATATCACACACTGGCGCTAATGCCATCCGCCCAGAGCAACATGGAGGCTCTTGCCATCAGTGACCCCCAAAAATAAAAGCTGGTAACATCATGTAAGAGGAATGAGCGGACAGATTGTTCTGTGTCTTTATCGTTGCACCGAGACTAAAGTGATGTTAATCCCAGATCCCCTCCACCCCTCCATTTGAATGGCCTTTTCCCAATGGATTACACTGGACTAGAGTTACAATAATGTCATAGTTGTGTAATGCAACAAATCCTGATTTCTTGCAACACACACACACAC